GCCTCGTTTACCCATTTTAATCTTTTGTAGTCCTCTTACTCTGACAAAAAGAAGATTTGAGTGACCAAGTTAAATGTGTGCCCTTTGCAGCAGAAAAGACAAGAAAAAGAAGGTCCAACTGGCCAGGAAGGAACAATCCCCGAGTCCCACCCCAGCCCTGCTATCCCAAACAGAAACAGGGGAATGTTAGAATGTTAGAATGGGAAGGTGAGTGCATTCCAGACATGTTTGCTCCACAGAAGCTCCCAGAACTGCCATTTCAGACCCCTGCATTCCCAGCACAGAGGAGGTTTCCATGTGCACACCCAGCTGTATCAAACCTTTGCTCTTTAATTAAAGATTTAGCGTTGGGGTCATCAGAGAAACAGTTCCTACCTCAAAAGCAGGTGTTCCCTTTGCAGGTACCTCAGTCCTCAGAAACTGCTTATCTGCAAAACACAAGGCAGAAGGAATGTGATTAGGGAGTGTGGGATGGGAGTTCATGGGGGGATGGCTGGGAAATGAGTTGTGTTAAATCTGAGTCACTGAAACCAGAGAAATTTTGCTGCAGGCCCCCTCCGGTGATCCAGGCAGCTTTCCTAAGTGTTCTCTCCTCCACAGGAATGTGACCTCGCTCTTGCTGGGAGCAGGAGGCCCATGGGATCCCGGGGGGCATCAGGAGGAGTGTGGCCAGCAGGTCAGGGAGGGGATCCTGCCCCTCTGCTGTCCTGGCGAGCCACATCTGCAGCGTTGGGTTCAGCTCTGGGCTCCACAGGCCAAGAAAGACAAGATGCTACTGGAGAGAGTCCAGGAGGCCACAGAGATGATTTGGGGTCTGGAGCATCTCTCTGATGAGCAGAGACTGCAGGAGCTGGGCCTGGTTAGTCTGGAGGAGAGAAGGTGAGAGGGGGTCCATCAATCCACACAAATACCCCCAAGGGGGGTCTGGATGGTCCCACACTCTCTTCAGGGCTGCCCAGGGACAGGACCAGGAGCAATGGCCACAAACTGAACCCCAGCAAGTTCCACCTCAACCTGAGCAAGAACTTCTCTCCAGGAGGGTGCCAGAGCCTGGCACAGCTGCCCAGGGAGGGGGAGGAGTCTCCTCTCTGGAGACATCCCAACCCCACCTGGACATTCCCTGTGTCACTTGCTCAGGTCACCCTGCCTTGGCAGGGGTTGGGCTGGGGGATCTCCAGAGGTCCCTCCCAAGCCCAGCCATTCTGGAATTGCTATTTCCCATCAACACTTGCTGAACCCGTTCAGGACATTCCACGAAAACCGTGAGCAACTTTCCCCCCGTTATAAATCGTAACCCCCAAAACCCCATAAAAGCTGGAGTAATCCAGGCTCAGCAGGACATCCCTGCACTAAGCAGCATTTCAGGTGCTCAGGGAAGGGCTTAAAAGCTCACAAAGTCACTGTCAGGGCCACACCTGCCCAGCCACCTGGGACAGCCACGTCTGAGTCACGAGTCCGTGTTTATCCCCAGCCGCCCCTTTGCCGTAGTTTTCCACGACTCCAGTGAACCTGCACCCACCAGCTTTCCCAGGGAACCATCCCCTCATCCACTGGCTGTCGTGTCCCAAATTGTTCTATCCAATATTTTCCATTTCGTTGGCAATGTTTCTTTATTCTGAAGCAAACTTATCTATTTTTTAAAAAATAATCAGATTCTCTCAAAATGATCACTCTTCGTGTTCTCCACACAGGAAAGGACATAACCCAAGGCACAAAGATGGAGAAATGTCCAACCTGTTCTTCACCACAGCAAGTCAGGAAGGCAATCTCCGGCAAAACATCCTCTCAGCACCTGCTCAGGGGGCAGACAGAACCACTAATCTGTGTTTCTCTCCCTACAAATGCACATCTCGTGTTCCAGGGAAGTAAAAACGCCAGAGCTTTTAGATAAACGAGGGAACAGCCCTGTGAAAAGGGTGTCAATTCAGCTTCAGTAAGTGGTAAAACTTTCTGAAAGAGTCCTGCTCCCTTCAGAAGGGTTGGGAAGGAGAGTTACTACAAAGGGAAGGAGAAACACCTTGTGTAGGATTCGGATACACGAGGAATTCCGTGTCAGCTCTCAGCTGACTGGTAACACTGATGCTCCCCTTCCCCACAGAAGCAAACTCTGCTGACACACATCAAAAACCCCACATTTTCCTCTTCCACATCAGTACTGGCAGTTGGGCCACCCTGTGATAAGCTGGGACATGGGGGTCCTTCTCTCCAGCTGCTTCCCGAGGATGAACACCCACATCACACCCAGAGGAATCAGAGCACCAAGACTGCTCATTAAAGTCCATCCCACGTTCACTGTGATCCACTCTCACACATGATATTCCCATCCCTTTGCATTGAAAACATTCAACTTTTATTTGTTAAGAAAACCAAGCCACAGCCCTCTCTTTTGGGGCAGAGCTGAAGAAAATGAAAAGCACGAGCTCGTTTTTAGCGCAGCTCCATGTCAGCCATGGCCCTGGGAACAGTCTGGGCAAAACCATTTTTGCCTTTGCTAAAGCTGCCCCTCTCTCTAAATAATCCTTAAAGGACAGAATTCCTGTACTACCAAGCTGGGATTAACTGCCCACAGCTGAAAAATTGCTCCTTTTTAAATACGGAGTGTTCTCGACTGACAAGTAGAAATTGTTAATATCAGTTCTTCTAACCCCAAATTGATTGGATAAAACTGCAGATGTAGCTGCAAAGATTTCTTTAGTGTTGGGTCTAAGATGGCCTTCACCTTGTCCCCTCACATAACACATGGAGGAGGACTTGTACCTTCCAGAAGGGTTGGTGAACAGCAGAGAGAAGCTGTTCCTACATCCAGCAAATCCCGACTCCTGCGGTCCCCGATTCACCAGAAATGCTTTCTGACCTTCAGCGACTTTTCTGGGAACTATTTTAAGGGATACCTGCCCATGCACTGCACCCCTGATTCCAAGTGCCCAGCTTTCTTCCTCCTCAGCACAGCTTTTCCACAGGTGATGAGGGAAAGCAGCAGGAGCAGGGAAGGCAGCCTGGGATCCCATTTACACCCCATACCACTCCCACTCCTCCTTTCCCCTTGCCTGCACGAGCAGGGAGCAGGTCCTGCCTGGCACCCAGACCGTCCTGTCGTGTCTGTCATCCCTGCAGGATCCAGTTCCACATCCTGCACCAGCAGGTCCTGTTCCTCAGCTCCTCCAGCTCCCGAGCTCCTCACACCCTTAGCATGGAACATTCCAAGGGCTTCTCCAACTCCAGCCAGCTTTCCAAACAGATTGCCCCCTCCAAAACTGACTCACCTGCATCCCACTAACACACTGACTACTTCCAGTCTCTCCCCTGAGGGTTCCCCAGACACACCCCACCTGGAATACAACAGTTACTCCAAACAGTCCCAAAAGCATATACACATTTCAGGGCAAACATTAACAACTCCTTCCTGGTTTTCTGTCATTTTGAAGGTTCTTACTACTTTTAGTAGCAACTGCTTGTCTCTGCCAGCTCCCAGTGAGAGCCCTCTGGGGGACGGAGTGAACCACAACCCCTGAGAAAAGCAGAGCTCGCCTGGGCAAGGCACCCCAAAAAGGATGCAAGACAGCAATGCCCCTACACCCACCTCACAGAATTATGGTGATTGGATGGTCTCTGGTTCCAGTGATCCAGAACTTTCCGTATGAGCAATGACTGCCTCAATCTGTGTTTCTGCAGCACCAGGCACAGGGAGCAGAGCAAGCCTCGGGCCACCCTCGGCATTATCACTCTTACCCCAAGCAACTGGAATGCACTTCAGGGCAGTTGAGTTTACAGCAGAAAGAATGTGCCATCCTCCAGATCAGAAACCCTTCTCAGCTCCCTCACACTCCCTAAACAAGCAGCACTCTCTGTTTTCCCATCCCAAACCCACAAGACTGTTTCCCCACACCCTGCGAGAGAAAAGCCCGCTCGATCTTCGAGTTTCCTGTTCTCTCACCCTTCAGACTTCGTTTCCACAGCTCTGGATAAACAGCTTCCTTTAAATAGCTCCCCTCTCCAGCAGCAGGGGCATGGAGATCACTTGACACGAAGAGCCAGGAGCGGAGGTGCCCACGGCAGCTCCAACATTCCACATGCACAGCAGGTCCAGGGTGTCGAATGCAAAGGGCTGGTGAGCCCTGAGCTATATTTACATGGTGGCCATGAAACTCCAGAGTGAGGCGTCTCCCCTTTCCATCCCAGCCCTTTCCTAGAGGAATAATGCTAGGAGAAAATAAACTACAGCCTGACACAAGGAATCACAGAATCACAGGACAGTTTGGGCTGGAAGGGGCCTTAAGGACCATCCTGTTCCAGCACCTCCCACTGGAAGGAAAACTGTCTTTATAGGCACAACCCCTACAATCTCCTTGCCTTAGGAACTCACAGAGATCCTAAACCAAGAGTTTATTCACAAACACACAATGGACTATTTTTCTTCATAGGGAACACGGGGGAAAGAAAAAAAACAAGTCACTGAATTTTTGTTCAGCATCAAACTCCTGTTACCACACCTGTGTGAGGCACCTCGGACAGAGCTGGCAATAAGATGAGTGCCTGAGGGAGCTGGGGGGGCTCAGCCTGGAGAAAAGGAGGCTCAGGGGGGACCTTCTGGCTCTGCAATCCCTGACAGGAGGGGGGAGCCGGGGGGGGTCGGGCTCTGCTCCCAGGGAACAGGGACAGGAGGAGAGGGAACGGCCTCAGGCTGGGCCAGGGGAGGGGCAGGTGGGACATCAGCAGGAATTTCTCCCTGGAAAGGGTGGTCAGGCCTTGGCAGGGGCTGCCCAGGGAGGTCTGGAGTGCCCAGCCCTGGAGGTGTCCAAGGCAGGCCTGGGGCACAGGGGGGGACTCGATCTCGGAGCTCTTTTCCAACCTCAGTGATTGCGGGATTTGAAAGAGACTGCTTTTAGATTTCATTCCAGGCTTTTGAGTAGAGCTTCTCCCAAGAGAAGTCAGACTAGTAATTTAGAGCCTTCAAAACACAAGCTTCAGTTCCACTGCACTTTAGGAGCGAGGCATTTTCTGGGGAAATATTCATGAAACTCCAGTCAGGGTTTCACGGCAGTCACGCCAGTCCTGCTGCTGGTAGGAAGGGGTGATGCTCCCCAATCCCAGGCAGCACATGGAAAAATGAAGGTCTTCTACTGCAAAGCCAAGCAGACACTCTTTGGCAACACCCACATTTAATCCTTATCAGAGAGGACAGACTTTGGAGAACTCTTTTCCGCGGCGATCGAGGTCGACGAAGCTGAAACCCAGTGAGGTTCATACAATCAGACAGTGAGGCAGCAGCTGCACAAGCGGAGCTGTTTTTATAGCACCGCGGATTTTGGGATGTCAGGAGCAATTGGCAAAAAAGAAACAACATGCAATGACTCTGGAAAGTTGGAAGAGTGACTCATGGATTGCCAAATCACCAGTGTCAAGGACCAGCCAAGGACCTTCCTGGAGGGTTG